AAAAAAAGTACCAGGTACCAGGTACTGTACCCAGTGGAAAACCCCCAAAAAGTGAACCGTACCGAGCCGTACCGTGCCGTACCATGCAGTGGAAAAGCGCCATTAGTGTAACTAGAATATATCGCTTTTTAATATATCGCCACTTAGTGTAACTACCAAAAATATCAATAAAGACAGCTCAGTGTTGATTTAGTTCTGTCCAATATGTAAAGTTAATCAATTATGAAATGAGTTCAATTGGGCAATATAGCATTGTTTACTAGTATGAAGCCTTATTAACAAGCCTTTGTAAAAAGAACAGTTAGCTCATTTGTTTCTAAGGTAACAACCTTGACAGCTGTGCTGAATTAATGTTCAGTGTTTGTCATGTGACAGCACTTAAGCATACTACTCTGAAACATTTATTGCTTATTGTATACTGTTTCACACACTATTTAAAAAAAATAGTAGGCAGTATGCACTGTGTACTGGGCAGTAAGCAGTAAGCAAGTATGCCATTTCGAACACAGCCAATGTGTTACACCATGGATCCTGCATGCTTCTTGCTGTGGGTTCGCCACTCAATGTGACACATGCCCAAACTGCAAGAGGTACTGTGGCAAGAAATGAAGCAGAAGTTGCTTCTGTTGCAGTCATTGTGTCTATCTGAGGATGATCTCTTCTCAATCTATTAAATATGACACAGTGCATTTAAGTACAAATTCATTACTTTGAATTGATTCTCAGTTCAACTTCTGAATCAACTTCAACTTCAACTTCAGCATCTTTCCATATACCCGTCTTCCCACTTGAGTAACAAGATGGGTGACAGGCACGTGACATGGAGACTGTGTGTTTGAATCTCGTGTAGTGCAACTTTATAAAATTGAGTGTAATATTGTGCTGTTTTGATTCCTTTATTATCCAGATCAGCATTGTACAAATCTTTATTCCTCTTGGATTAGAAACAAGTGTTTTTTTTTTGGTTTTTTTTACATTCTGTGTTCTGAACTTCTGCTCATATATGGTTCCTTGCCACCTATACTTCTGAATCGACTGATTTTCATGTTCATCAATTTCTGCTGTTTTTGCTCTTCCTGCTCTGCACTGCACTACAGGGGCTTGGCCCTGTATCGCTGCTTGCAGCTATATTTATTGTAATTATTATCATAGAAAAGTGCAAGAATAAACAGATGAAAATGTTCAATTCTGCAGTCGCTCTTGAATATCCACTCTCTTTTACAGATGATATAAGAGGGGACATTTTAGTTGATGTGGGATCTGGCCCCACTCTCTACCAGGTCATGAGTGGTTGTGAGAGATTTGATCGTGTCATCCTGTCCGATTTTTTGGAAGTGAATCGAAAAGTGCTGCAAAGCTGGCTACAGGAGGGAAAGAGCAGTATAGACTGGACTGCTTACTTCAAGTATGTGTGTGAACTGGAGGGTCGCAGGTGAGATTCCCATCTTTAACTTTTTTTTAAATCCCATAAAAAGCAGAAAGGGGAGGCACAAACAAGGAAATATGACCATTTAATGTCAATATGAAAGCAGGTATAGCCAACCATCCTTTCTGCAGACGTCACAGTTCCAACACTGCTCCTGGGGTTAGAGCTCAAGATGGTAGCACCTTCTTCTTGTTGATTTTAGGATCCTGACATCCATTCTTCACGCACTTGTGTGGTTTATGACACCATTTAGGCCCTGTCCACACGAATGCAGCTATTTTCAAAACTGCAGCTTTTTATATGCGGTTTGGCCATTCGTCCACATGCACACACAGCACCAGGTCACTGAAACCGAACATTTTTGAACTCCTGCCAGGGTGAAGATTTTCAAAAACTCCGATTGCGGTGTTATCGTGTAGACAGCGAAACCGGAGATTTTGGCTTGTGACGTCATAGCATGCGCTGTTATCTCAGGGTTGGAACTGAACTCTGCAGGAAGATAGATCTCCAGGAACAGGGTTGGGCACCCCTGATCTAAGTGATAACAAAAATAATAATAATAAAAAAAAAATCTTTAACTCATATCACACAGCGGTGAAGTGTTGCCCGATTACCATGACATGACGCAGGAAAACTTTAAATATCTCACATTCACTTTCATTTCAGACCATCTCCAAAAAGACATAAAAAATATATGATTTACAAGTTTAAGATGTGTTTATCAAAGTAAGAAATATAATTAGTGCTCTTGAAATAGGAAATAGAGGCGTGTCCGGATTTACTTCCCTCTGGGTCTGGAATCCGGACCAGAGTCCTGACTTTGAGAAGTACTGCCCTAAAGGGACATGGTGATGGAAAAAAAAAATTTATGAGATGGAACAAAATGTCAGGGCATTTGCATTCTTTCAGAAATGTTGCGCATTGCAATCACACAAGAAACTTTGCATTCGCTCACAAATAGCTGATTTTGACTGGTTCATCTCTGATGATTGTGCCAATGTAGATTACAAACAGTGATAAAAAACCCATTAAATTAAATATTTAATTTAATGTGTTTGGGGATTATTTTATGGCACCAAAATCTCTTTGTTTACATTAATTTAAGCTACTGAAAGGCTTAAGAGGAAGTCTAATGTCTACCTGTCTAATGTCTGTATACAGTTAGGTCCATATATATTTGAACAGGCACATTTTTCTTTTAGCTGCTGACCAAAACATATTCAATTTGCAATTATATAATGAATATGGGTTTAAAGTGCACACTCTGAGCTTTAATTTGATGGTATCATCACAATTGGAGGAAAGGTTAAGGAATTACAGCTCTTTAATATGTACCTCCCTCTTTTTCATGGGAACATATGTAATTGGACAGTTGACTCAAAATCTGTTTCTTGGACAGATGTGGGCTATTCCTTCATTATTTCTACATCAATTAATCAGGTAATAGTTCTGGAGTTGATTCTAAGTGTGCCATTTGCATTTGGAAGCTGTTGCTCTGAATCGACATCATGCAGTCAAAGGAGCTTTCCATGCAAGTGAAACAGACAGTTGTTAGGCTTCAAAATCAAAACAAATCAGTCAGAGAGAAAGCAGGAAGATTTTGGCACATTCTGAGAAAAAAAACAAAAAAAGAACAGACTGGTGAGCTCAGCAACATTAAAAGCCTGGACATCCACGGAGGACAGCAGTGGTGGATGATCGGAGGATCCTCTCCATGGTAAAGAAAAACCCTTTCACAACATCCAGCCAAGTGAAGAATACTCTCCAGGAGGTAGGCATGTCACCGTGAAAGACTGCGATCAAGAGAAGACTTCACGAGAGCAAATACAGAGGGTTCACCACAAGGTGCAAACAAGGCCAGATTAAAATTTGCCAAGAAATATCTAAAAAAGCCAGACCACTTCTTGTGTGGTCTGTGACTGTGGAACTCTGGGGCGGGAGACGGCATTCTTTGGATGGCTGAAATTAAGATCAACCTGTACCAGAATGACAGGAAGAAAAAAAGTATGGAGAAGGCTTGGAACATCTCATGATCCAAAGCATACAACATCATCTGTGCAACATGGTGGAGCAGTGTGATAGCATGGGCATGCATGGCACTGGGTTACTGATGTTTATTGATGACGTGACAGAGGACAGAAGCAGCCGGAAGAATTCTGAAGTTACAGGGATGTACTCTCTGCCCAGATTCAGTCAAATGGAGCAAAGTTGATTGCGCAGCACTTCATAGTACAAATGGGCGGTGACCCAAAACCTACAGCAAAAGCAACCCAGGAGTTTTTGATGGTAAAAAAATGAATATTCTGCAATGGCCAAGTCAATCTCCTGATCTCAACCTGATTGAGCATGCATTTCACTTGCTAAAGACAAAACTAAAAACAGAAAGACACACAAACGAACAACAACTGAAGTCAGCTACAGTAAAGACTGGAAACAAAGGAGGAAACCGTCTCAGGTTACGTATGTAACCATGGTTCTTCGAGGGAACGAGACACGTGCCCGCTGCCTGTGAGAGGAGGTCCCTCCTGACGGGAATCTCCCATAGAGAGCCGTCGAGAAGGGAAATCAGGTCCGAGAACCATACTCAGCCCGG